TGTGCATGTTTATATATATATATATATGCAGATGTATATGTTTCACATGTCTGCACACATGTAGATACTTAGGGCTATAGATTCGCTGAGTACCAGCTCGAGGTTCCGTGTCGGAGGCCAGCTCATGGATTGAAATCTGAGCCTGGGGCCTGGAGCTGGGATTTCAACAGGGTGTCACAAGGGTCTACATGGGGTTTTAGGGGCTTTGTCAAGTTTGAAAGAGGATGATGACGGCGAGCTTGGTGGTGGTGGGTGGTGGCAGTAGTGGTTGATGTCGGAAAGGAAGAAGATCAGGCTGCAAAGCTGATTCTGAAGACGGGGGCGTTAGTGACAGTGATGATGATGACGACGATGATGATGCTGATGGTGATGCTGATGATCAGGACGATGACGAAGAAGATGATGATGCTAAACAAACGGCACCTGTAGAGTTTAACGAGCCTTGGAATGTCTTGGTCGGCCTCGCGGTTGAAGTCTTTCTGCTGTCCTTGTTCCGCGGCTAACCTTAAAACCGTCGTCACAGTCGTCTCAGCCGTATCGGGTGTTATGAGACCCAGCGACGTAGCATGCTCCCTCCCAGGTGCCAATGGAGCCAACGGCAGCGCCGGTAGAGCCGGCAGCGGAAGCTCCGGCGGCGCCGGCAGAGGCCCAGGACTTCCCAAGCGAGTGGTAGCTGTGATACCTGAAACTTCAGGTTATTCGCCGTAATTAGCTCTGATGGCGTTGGTTCCCAACACCGGTACTACTGGAAACCCTACGAGTAATGCTGGAAACGGGAATCGGAGCACCAACGCACAGAACTATTTCACGCGGTTGTACCGAGTGCACACTGACCACAAGCCGACGCGATGGGAAGGTGCCCGCTGCAGACACAAGCATGAAGTTCAGGAGCTGCTTGCGGCTCATTCGAGCAAAGTGTTTTCAGAGCTTTTCATGCCCGCTAAGATTCTCCGTTTCTTGGCCCTTGGCCCGGCCCGCCGAAGCGCTCTGCTTGGAACTATGGTGAGCGACTTGTGGCGGCTCAAAAGCGTCTATGTGGGAGTGTCCCTGTGTACCCAAGCCACTAGACCAGGGCAGGGGTAGCCCAGGTGCCGGTTAGAGGCAAGATTCGAGTGGCCCTGGACTTCTGACACCGGAATTGCCAAGTTTTGTGTTTTTTGAATTGTTGGATTTTGACTAACTGTAAAAAGGTTTACTGGTTTTCACGAGTTCGTTATTTGTTTTCTACTGGTTCTTATGTTTTTTTATAGGTTTAGCTTTTTTTCATAAGTTTTATTGGTTTCCTATAGGGTTTTATTGTGTTTTCAATTGGTCTGACAGAATTTTGTTTGCTGTTGGTTTTTCATTGGTGTTTTTTGGTTTTCTATTGGTTGTTGTTGGTTTATATATTGGTACTCTATTGTTTTTTTATTGGTTTTCCATAGGATTCTGTTGTTTTTATTGATTTCTATTAGCTTACTGTTGCGGTTTTAACGTGTTCTCTTTGGTTTTTACTATTTTTGGAATTTAATGCTTTGGCAAGTTAACCACCAAAACGAAGAAAACACAACGACGCAGACAGATACGCAGATAACCAACCCTATGAGCAACCAAGAAGCGTGGCAGGTCCCAGCAAACCCGAAAAAACAAAACGGGGATAACAAATAAAGACATAGATTACCAAAAAAAGATACACATAACACACAACACCCGGATTATTTATTCTCCGCCTCTTGTGCTGGCGGGTTACTTGCAGTTCCGCTGCTGCTGCTAGTCGTCGAAACTACTGGTTCGAAGTAATTAGTTTGGTGTTGCCAGTCTGCTTTCGGACGTTGTTAAGGCTGTCAAGGTTGGTAATGTACCAGCAAGACGTATTGTGGTTATGTAATTCCCAATACGCTTACTACCAAGGTTTGGGGTGAAACCCCAGAGCTTCGAACCCCACCCTAATCCCTAGACCCTAAACCCTAAACCCAACCCTAAACCCCGGGCATGGCACCATTGCCTCAGGAGGAGGGGCTGAGTCTGTCTGCGACTCAAGGGGGTTTCGTGTGCTTTTATCTGCGGGCTCAACTCTAAGACCCCAGTTCAAAAGCCTTTATGAACTCTGGCCCCCCTGCGAAGCTTCAGCGCTCAGGCACGTGCAATGCCGGGATTTCGGGAAGATGGCATGTCCAAAAGTTGAGCGGTGGCCGGGGCACCCGAAAAAGGGGGAGATGTCTTTTGTTGTTTTCGAAACATCATGGGGCTGTCATTGGATATTTTGTTTCGTGGCTTGTTGTGGTTGTGCCGGGGAAAGACAAGGACCGGTCTTTCGAAGCATAGCCGGAAGGGCTTAGAATATGGGTTGAAACTTCCAGGTACAGGCGAAGACTCGTGGAATGTTGGTTGTAATTATGCAGCATGAAGGGCAACACTCGTAAAATTGCTGCTCTTGCGGACCGATGTGAACATTGCGGATGCAAGGAGATGATCAAGACCATTGTTGAATCGCAGCCATACTCTGAACACTGAGCTTCGCGAAGCCAAAACCTGGCAAGAAGGAAGGCAAGTATCTTTTGTGTCATCTATCTTATTGACGATTCCGTTTGCTTGGCATGTCCTTTCGTGGCGCGATCTCGGAGCTTAGAAACTGCGTGGAAGATCCAAACCTCTGCTTCCTCAGGTTAGCCGAGAGCAGCGGCGTGCCACTTCAAAAGGTATTCAAGCTGCCGAACTGGAACTATGCTGCTTGGCGTGACGATATTGGAAAGACTCCGCGCCGACTGCTCGTGTCAAGAAATGCTTCTCCTGCTGTTTCGCCGGTTGCTCCTCCTGCTCTTGGTCACCCATTTATTCGAACATGGTCATCACGGCAGGGCAGAGCCCACAACCGTAGCACATCGCGCAGGCGATCCGTCGCCATGAGCAACACTTCGTATTGAGGCTATCGACGGAAGCGATTGACGGAAAGCCGGCGTTTGCGCCTTCGAAGGAACAAAGAGAGACCAGAATAAGAACAGAAAGTCAACACTATCTTCGGTACCAGCTCTTGTAAGCAGAACCTTGTTGTCACATCGGCCCTGTGCAGCCCCAGTTGGTCCTGTCCTAGGCTTTCGTGACTATCCTCCCAGAGCACGAGAAGAAGTTCCGTGAGGCCCAGTCGCGTGTTCCGCCAGTAAACACTTCACAAGCCGTCAAGTCAAACCTTCTGAAGGATCGTCCGATGGCCAGGCCGTGGATGGCTTGCTCCTGTTCAAGTGCTGCGTCTCGGTCAACGTCCGCAACCTGAGCTGCTCCGGCGCCGAGCGTCGTAGAAGAGACGCTCAAGCCAAGATCTCAACATTCAAGGAGGGAGCTCCACGGAAGAGCCAGCCGAAGAGCGATGAGGCACTCCGATACTTGGAGCCTTCGCCTTCGCCTTCAGCATGGCTGCGACCTGCCCAGGAGCGCCCCGCCAAGCGGCAGAAGGTCGAGGACCAAGTGACTGGATTTCCGGTCTCGTAGACTTTAGATCTGGGCCTGGGCCTTTTCGGCTCTGACTGGGAATGTCCGTGTCACCAAGGTCAAAGAGGTCAAAGACTTCCGGCGTCGATCCCAGCTTCTTAGGGAGACAGAGTGTGCGATGGGAACCGACCCGCCTTCTTTGCAGTTTCCGGGTTCCTTTTGTCGGTCACTGCTCAGTTCTGCTCCTCCTCCTCCTCTCAAGCTACTGGCGCACCAAATTCTGTCCTACCGTTTGCTACTTCAGGCCTGGGTTTGTTCCGACCCTGAAAGACCTGACGGCGAAGCTGAAAAACAAAGGCACGGGATGCGGCACTCGTCGATGAGGGTTGGTGCAAAGAAGGTACTTTCCAAGGTGGCAATTCGACACGCGGTAGTCCTAGAAAGCATCCGAGCATCTTTGTTTGTCGGGCTAAGCCCCAAAAACTCCCGATGCCTCAACCCCAATTCCCCAAATCCGAAGCTTGGAAATCCTTGCATCGCAGCGCAGATCCTGGCGACGTGCTCCGGAAGAGTGCCGGAGAGCCTGGCGGTATTGCGACTGTCATAGCAACTTTATACTTTATCGCTGTTGTAACCCACAGCCCAAAAATGCAGTGGAAAGCAGGATCACGATATGAACGATTCTGCATCGTACTTGTGTTTGCACTAGTGTCACTAGTAGCAGCTTTCAACCATTAGTCATCAGCTATTATTTTTTGTTCCACTGTCCATATGAAGCTGACGAAAGTTATCATGCGGAATCATGCGCATCATTATATCTCCTCTTGTTTTTTCTGGCATTGTCCTGCTTGCCGTTGGTATGTTGCGTCTGTCGATTGTTGCGGATATCCTCTTGTGCTGTTGCCGTCGTTGCATTGTCATTTCGACTTGCTTGTTGTTCTGGTTCGTTTTAGGCACATTTTCGTCATTTTTGTTCGCACGGGTGTTGCAGGGAATCCTGTTGCCGAGGCTCCACTCATAGACTGGAGCTACGAGACGCAGCTCAGCCTTGATCTCAGCGTGTCCTGCGAAACAGACGCTGCACAAACCATAAGTGACAGGGGTCGCTGTCATAGTGGCCACGCAATGACCACGAGACGAATTCTCGTATTGATCATGACAACAACCTGTATCATGCAACGAGTCAAGTTTGGCAATGACAATCAAACATAATCAAACGAAGTCCGACGTGGAGGTTGTGCGTCTTCCCGAGGCATGAAAGGCACTCACATCAAGACGGCTGCAGGAGCCTGAGCTTTGGGTAAATGGAATTTTCTGCCACGTGCAGTTCTTCTTGAGTGCAGGTGCGGTCCTTCACGAAGCAGGTGGACAAGAAATGCAAGGCCAACAGCCTCCAGTACTTTGGAAAGTTAGTGCAGTGCGGTAGCTGCAGTCTTCCCTCGGGTGCGTGGCGGCATTGCAGTTGGAAGTGCCTAATTGCGCTGTGTCCTGACCCGGCTTGGCCCGAATCCCCAAAGCGGTGTAATTACGTTTCTGCAGAAGCGCATCACTCATGATCTTTCTGGACCAAGAGCCGTGGGAACGCCCTTCCTGGCTCTTTGGAGGACCTCAGCCTCACGGCCCCGCCTTGGACCAGCTTCGAGTGGTCGAAGGCGCTGCAGAAACCACTAGAACCTTGTGGCAGTTGGAGCGGAGCGGAGCGTCGGTGGGGCCTTCTCGAGCCAGGCCTGTTCGGCCGGGATCTTACTGGCATGTGGGCAGTTCCGAAGTGCTGTCGCAAAAGGCATGACGTCCCCGAGGCACCGATTGGCTGCGCCTGTCCGTTGGACCCTCCCATCGGCACTCCTGCAGAAAGCGGGGGGACTTAGCCTCGCCTTTGGCCAGACCGAGCCAACTGCACTCCGCGCGCTTTGCTTCGCTTCGCTCCGGAGGTCTGGAGGGTTACAGGAACAAGTGCGAGTTCAGCATCGGCCGGGAGCCAAGCGCTCCCCCCCCCAGACACGCAGCCCGACCTAACTGTCGCCGGAGGCAAGAGTGAGGAGGGCGACATCGAGTGCGGCTTCGTGCGTCGGATCACGGATGACGGCTACGGGTGGGCCTTCCGTCAAGCGCCAAGGACATTGGCTGTGCTGCTGTGCTCGTGGCCGACAGAGGCGCATCGTAGCCAGCTGTGAGGAAGTGCCCTGACCTCGGGTGATCTCGTGCCACGCGTGAGTGTGACTTCAGGCAGCACACATACTGCTCACAAATATACCTTCAGGCACAGGAGCAAGTGGCCGCCCATGCAATCATGAATCTGGTTCTAGTTCGGGTTTCCTGTGTCGCAAGCATCTGCAACTGGCCATGCTTCTGACGCCAATGAAGTTTAGACTCGTTTAGACCATGTAAAATTCTGTCCCGACAAGCACTCGCCACAACCACATCTGTGGGCACGTTTGACTGCGCTTTCGCGGGAGATGTTGCTTTCGGGGGCGGGTTCTTTGCAGCGGCCATGGTCCCAGTGTTTCAATAGCTGATTGCCGCCACCGCAGCAGTTTTGGCTGACACACTACAACTTAAGGAGCGAGGTTGAGCCGCGCGAGATGATGCGATGCACTTCCCATGTGGCAGCCAGCTTGGCAATTGAAATTAGGCATCCTATTCCCATTCTGCTCCTGTTTGCATCATTGGGTGCCGGGAACTGCAATCTCGACCGTAAAGCCTGAGCCAGCCCGGTAGAGGTTCCCCCACATTTGGAGCAACCCGACACGAAAGCTGATCGGTCGGGGATGGCGCATGACTGACCGAGCCATGGGTCCCTTGGCCCGGAAGGAAGCGGGAAACCAGTTCTGCAAGGCCCTTGTTGCCTATGGACCTTTGCCTTTCTTTGAGGTTCGGAGCATAGACTCTCTGACTTGAAAGGAGGGGAAATGGCACGAAGCCGCAGAGGAGTGGCTGGCTGAGCTTCCGAAAGGCGAGAGCGAGGTCTGGGGAAGTTAGGCTCTTGCTGTCCTCAGGTACACCAAGGGCCTCGACGAGTGCGATGAGAACTTCCCACCGGATCAGAGGGGGTCGGGACCAGAGGTTTGGGGTCAAATGTGAGCAAGTTCTCAATCCCGTCGTGAATGGCATCCTGGTCGAGGGACGTTTTGGAAGTGAGCTGTGGCTGTAGAGCGTGCCCCAGGCTCCTTCTGGCGAACCGGAGCCAGTGCTGGCTCAAGCTGAGCAGCTTGCCTTGACCAGACACGGGGCTCTACTGGAGGGAAAACGGGAGTTAAGCCACAGCGGAAGTTTCTGTCTTTGAGGTGACTTCCAGAAGGGGCTGGACGATGCCAACGCGTGCCTGGAGTTGCTGCCGGAGCATGTGAAGTCACCTGGCAGGATCCCTCTGAAGCTCTTCGCTCAAAACGCGAAGCTGCCAGTAGAGCTTTATGGGGGTTCAGCTGCCGAGGTCCCTCTTCCGCCGCGCCACTGCCCTGGAGCAGCTCGGGCGCGAGACGGAGGTGACAGCTGAGCTAAGACGGGAACACTGGTCTGAATGCGAGAGTGTGCAGTGCGCGTGACTCGGAGGCGCTGTCGGACTTCGCGCGCGTGGCGCGCGCGGATCCCGGGTGCGCCTCGCCGGGTGTGGGCATGACGTTGGGGCAGGGCGAGGGCTTGTCAGCCGGATCTCACCGGGCTTTGGAGCTTCACCCGAGCCTAGGACTCCAGGGCTCTAAAGCTTAAGATGCTCTCCTTGGCTCAAGCGGCCGCTGAGAGGTGTGCGGTGCATCTGTTTTGTCAGCATGTTCGACTTCGAGGACATCGAAGCCGACGTCGAGCGCAAAGGTGCTGAGGCCTGGCAGGAGGCCGCGGAGGGCACCGGCGCGGCCGGTCCCAGCGGCCCGAGCGGCCCGGCCTTCGCGCACCGCCGGCCCGGCGCCGCCATCGAGGTGGGGAAGAAGGTGATCATCCGCGGCGCGCCGGGCGCACCGGAGTTGGACGAGAAGATCGGGGAGATCATGGGTTTTGAGGAAGGCAAGTACTCAGTGAAGGTCATGAACTTGACGGGCGGTTATGTGCCCGGGAGGGCCTTAAACGAGGGCTCTCACATGAGGCTCCTGGCCCCAGAAAGCCTGGAGCTGCACCCGGATCAAGTGGAAAAGGATCGCCAGGCGGCCGAGGACGGGGCGATCGTTTTGCTGGGCGGCAGCGAGGCGGAACGGGCGGCGCGCGAGGCGCTCTACTCTCTCTCCATCGACCCAAAGCACTGCTACGACAAGGCCGTGGAGCGCATCCTGGCCGCAAGGCACGAGTTCGAAGTCTTGAACTTGGAGGCGAAGTGGTATGGGAGTGACCTGAGCCTTATCAAGAGGGCTTACCGAAGGATCAGCGTGGGCATCCACCCGGACAAGAACAGCCACCCGCAGGCCGTCGACTGCTTCAGGAAGGTTTATGGAGCCTTCGAGACTCTGATGGACAAGAAACAGCAGTGGCGCTTGCTCTTCATCCTGAATCGGCTCAAGGATGACGAGGTAAGTTTGTACGAGCTGGAGGCGGAGGAGGAGGAGCGCTTCGAGTGGTGGCTCGAAGCCAACGTTCCGGAGATTGAGAAGCAGGCCGCGGAGATCGAAGGAGGGGAGTTTGAGGAAATTGGCGAGAAGTGGATCTCTGATGGCACGGGTGGCAATGTGAACGATGTAAAGTGGGCGGGCATGGCCGAGAGTCTAAGGCTCCATGCCGAGGACAAGGCTCTCTTCATCGACTGTCGAGAGCGATTTGAGTTCGAGATCGAGCACATTGACGGGGCCTTTAACATCCCCATGCGAGAGTTCGTGGACTTTGGTCTCGCCGGCGTCGCCGGGCCCTGGGTGAAGGAGGTCTTGAAACGGAAAGACCAGCCGGTGATCATCTACAGCGAGGTGGCGACGCCCTTTTCGCGCTGCCGGGCCATGTGCCGATGGCTGCTGCGTGCTGGCTCCAAGTCCTTGCCCGCCGAGCGCCTGCGAAGGCTGCGGGGTGGCATGTTTGGCTGGCGGCACAAGAAGGGGAAGATCCTCCTTGCGATCAAGGACATCACCTTGGAGCAGAAAGCTGCCTTGTACAGGGAGAGCGCCAAGCAGATCGGAGCCCTGAAGCCGGGCCTCGGCGCCGTGAACCTCCGGGTGCGCGTGCGCTGCTTCGAGGAGCGGCCTGAAGGCCCTGAGGGCCCTGAGGGCCCTTGCGCCATGCTGCACGACTCCTCCGGGGGGATCCTGACGCTTCTGACGACGAAGGAGCAGATCGCTCTCTGCCGCGAGGCGGCCAAGCAACAAGCCTCACTGCTGGTGCGCGGGGCCACCTGTGAGCTGAGCTCCGAGAAGCACTTGCTGGCAAGGCTGGGCCCCGAGGCGACGCTGGAAAGGAGCGACCGCGACTTCACCTTCGGCTTCGACGCCAAGAACGTCTCCGAGGAAGTGCGTGCCCCGGAGCCGGAGGAGGAGGAGGAGGAAGGAGGATGAAAAAGGGAGCGACTGCGTGCAGTCAAGCTGTAGTACTCGTGAGTCATTGCGAGGCGGAGAGATCACTCAATCTTCGAAACCCTCACAGGTTACACTCTACACGCTTTTTTCCTCCCTTTCCCCCAATTTGCCAGAAGGTTCCCTTGAAAGAAAGCCCCGGCAAGCACACACCAAACTCAAACCCTCCCAAGCAAGCTGGACAAAGTTCGATAAGCAGGGGGTCAGGGCAAGCAAGGGGACAATCCCAGTCGTAGCATTCATACCCATCACGACCGCAACCCAGTCAGGCACTACACCCTACACTCAAACTCCGGAACACCACAGGCCTCACGTTGAAGGCTCCTACTTTCTATCTATCTATCTATCTATCGATCTACAATCTACCTACCTACGTATCCACCTATCTGCTTATCTACCTATCTACCTAAAAAGAAATTCACCTATTTACCTATCTAACTACCTACCTACCTACCTACCTACCTACCTACCTACCTACCTATCTATCTATCTATCTATCGATCTATCAGTGTACCTATCTGCCTATGTACCTGTCTGTCTATTAGTTAGTCTATCTATCCATCTACCTATCTGTCTATCCATGGATAGGCTTATCTACCTAGCTGCCTATCGATTGATCAATATCAATCTGCGCGCAAACCCCGAAGAGCACAGCTTTAACAGCCTTGGATCCTACACTCCCCTGATGAAAGTACGTGTGATCATCCCACGCCAAGCCCTGGACCCTAAAAAACGCCCAGATCCCGAAACGACTGTGATTCACCCCTCCGAACGATCCGCCTCGTGCAAAAGTTAGCGAGAAAGGAGCCCCTCAAGAACCTAAAAAACCCTACAGAACCCTATAGACCCCTGTTAGGAACTTAAAAGAACAGCCTTTGGTTTTCTTTTGGAAGGAACCGCCCGGCCGTGGAGTCGGCCCAGCGCCTCCGGGCGGCGATCTCCCGGCGGAGCGACCGGCGCCGGGGGCCAAAGGCGAAGGGCAGAGCATAGCGGAGCTGCCCAGGGGTTTGCTTTTTTGTGACCGTCTAGTATGAGGGTTCTTTGAGGCCTTTGCCGTGTTGGTATAGAGTTGTGGCTTCCTGAAGCCATCATCGCCCTGGAGCCAGCTGCAGGCTCTCTGGTCTCTGCTTTCTCTCCCTCCTGGCTCCCCGTTGCGGTGTCTTTTTGGGAGTGTTTTGACGCCGAGTTGTGGAGCAAAGCCTCCCAGCGCGCCTGGCCGCGACGCTCCGGGCACCCACGACCCAGGAGGCGGTGACCTGGGGAGTCGGATGTGGAGCGTAGAATACGACTAGTCGGAGTGGGATAGTGGTGTGTGGTAGTACTTTTGTAGTAGAAGTAGTAGCAGTCTTCGTGGTCGTTGTCGCAGCAGGGCTGGCAAAACTTCAGTGGAAGCACTCGCCGCGGTGCGACGAGCCCCACACCAGTTTCCTGAACCAATCTGCAGGAGGAGCAGCGAGACGCCTGCGACAAAGTTCGAGCGGCGGTACTGCGCGGAGAGGCTCCGGCATTTCGCCAAGTCCTTTAGCATGGGCAACCGCGGAGAAGCGGCAGGCATCCTCTCTGCTGAGCCATGGAGTTCTGGAGGCTTTGCCCACATTTACGAAAGAGACCCTAGACGCGGACCTTGCACGAAGGCTTTGCTGTCTTTGGGAGATGCAGAGCAAACATTGCCGGAGATCCGCCAGGCCAGCCCGCACTCCGCCTTGCGCTACTCCGCATCTCTTCTATCTCTTCTGTTCCCTGCAGCCAGGCGTGCCTTCGAAGTCTTTGCCTCGTTGCCTCGGGCAGGGATCGCGACGACTTGGAGGCAAAGCTTTCCTGAGGGTTGTGAAGGTTTGGCCTCCCTTGTGAGCCTGCCCTGCCATGCCCTACCTCCCAAGCCCATCTAAACCCTGAAACCCTTCGAAGGCAGCAGACGCACGGATGCAGATGCGGGGCAAGCTGGACACGCCCAGTCCAGCAGCAGCTGATGCGAGGCACCAGAGCTCTGCGAAACGAGGCTTTCGCCCCCATGCTGTAGGCAGAAGGAGCAACATGCTCTTCTCCTGGCCATGCAGCAAAACGTGTTATTACAGGATGAAAAGATTTCAGCCCTCCAGCAGGAGTTGCAAGACCTGAAGGCAGTTGTAGAGAGAAGCGCGCAGCACGACGGGCCTCACATACCGAAGGCAAGTGACTCGCGGTTGGCGCCTATCCCTGGGGGCCGATGTTGCAGAGACGAAGCAGGTAAAGCAAGACTCGTCCTTGTATCTAAAGCCACAAGCAACTGTTGCGCAGCCATTCACCATGTATAGAGGCTATAATAGGCACTCAGCACGTAAACCTACGTAAGTTTAAATGTAGGAAGGTTTCAATTACACGTCCTGTCTTATCTGCGTACACACACACACACATGCCTGCTTCTCAGCTTCTCCGTGCTATCCGGCTCTTCTGTTCGGGTGGAGAGGTCCCGGCTCCGTGCGGCGCTGAGCGAGGAGGGCTACGGCCTGCTTCGGCGCTTGGGGAAGCGTTGCCGGGGCCATGGAGGCCCAGACGGATGACCAAGCTACTACGTAGTAGGTGCTCAGTGGATCTGGTGCTGTGCAGGATGCCTCAGTCAGCTCGCGCTACTTTTGAGCTACTGCCACCGGCCAAGCCTGCTTCAACCGTGCATTCTGTCGAGAAGGTGATGCACGCATCGCGATCATTTGAGGTCAGGAGCCCGAGGACGAGGCCAGGCCCGGCGTCGTCTTCGCCGCATTCTGCGCCGCATTCTGCGCCGCATTCTGCGCCGCACTTTGCATCCCAGGCCGCCCTGGAGCTCCTGGCGGAGGCCTTGGACGTCGACGAGGCCGACGCGGAGAGGAGCTACTAGTGCTGCTACTGCTAGTGCTACTAGTTACTACTGCTCTTGCTCCTCCTGCTTCTGCAGCTGCTCCTGACCATATCTCTCGTGTCGAGAGCTCTTTTTCGACAGCACCACAACCAACAAAACTGCGTCTGGCCCCAGCCCAAATTTCGTGCGTTTTTTTGGTGAGCGCGAGGCGGAGGTCTCCAAGGCCGCGTTGGCATGGGGCCCAGTGCTGGTGCTGCCAGGAATTGCAAAGGGGCTCAGGAAGTCCAAGATACGTGGTTCTAGAGGTGGATGGTTATAGCTGGTTTCTATTTGGATTAACTTGGATTGTTACACAAGGTTGCCGGCGGGTTTACGGAAGGTTAAGAGTTTTAAGCTTCAAGTCTTTGACGAGTATAGGGAAATTCAGGAAGGGTCGTGGCTTTGGGGCTTGAGGGTTTTGTGCAGGTTTCGGATTTGGGCATGTGCAATTCGGGTTTCAAGGGTGTCGTGGCTTTAGGGTTCTAAGGCGCAGGGTGATGGGTTCAGGGGTTCCGGGCTAAGAGGAAAGTAGGACGGAATGCTCGTAGCGGCAGTATTCAGCGCAACAGCGACGGTGTAGAGACCTGCAAGAAATACTAAGAGCAATCAGCGAGCGTAATGATGGAAAATGCAAGATTGGTACCAATCGTTCGTAATTGCCGGTAGCCTCCGTCTCTTCGGCCTGAGGTGTCGCTGAACGCCATCTTCGATGCTCGTCGCCAGCAGGGCTCTTCAGGTGGGGTCCTCGGGGCTCTCGGGGATTCCGAGCCTGGAAGTGAAATTCAACAAGAGGCCTTGGTGTCTTAAGGTAAGGCCGTGGTCTTCAACCCGGGCCTGCGACGCTGTCTCGAGGCCCAATTTGTGGATTCCCATCCAAAGCTCCGAAAGCATCTGCTGGCAGGTTGGCCTCCACGTGACGGATCACCAGGACCCAGCGATCTTCCAAGCTGAACCCTCTTAACCTTGAAACGTCTCTATGTTCTGCATCCACGCACCATGAACGGACAAGAAAATCTCAAAGCAATGAAGCGAATACATAGATGAAGATGCAGACAGATAATTGCACTCACATGTGCATCACACACATTGACACGTGTATATATATATATATATATACATACATACATACATACATACATACATACATACATACATACATATATATACACGTGCGTACTCACATAAGTATATATGCATATAGAGATATGCATGTGTATGTATATGTATATGCATATGTATATGTATATGTACAAAGACATGTACATGTACATGTACATATATATATATATATATATATACACGGTAATA